AGAATTCACGACAGTTCACGACAAATCATGACTGCTCGCCCCAAATCCCTTATTTATGTCCAAGCTTGTCAACCATACATTATACCAAGTAGGTGTTGATGTTTCGACGCTATTAAACGAGCCTGTGTACAAATGCGACTCTGTTTTCGTCGACGAATCATGGTCAATACGTAACAAGATAAAGCAGAAAAATCAGTGTCGTATCACTAAACAAAAAGGAGGCATTCACGATGATCGGAAGACCTATTTTCGTTACAACATGGTAGAAATGTGTGGTGGACCGTCCTCACTATTATGTGCCTTCCGATTGGAACGGGTCCTACGCCTGGGTTACGTCTCCTCTGAAGCCCGCTTCCGAGTTAATGCATACATTTTGGTTCCACTCTGAATCCGGATGCGGTATGCGTGTTCCCCTGGTGCCGTTTAGACCTATAAAACGGATCCCTTCCAAGGTCGACAGGCACTATTGTATACCACCCACTGTAGCCCAACTATTATATCCTCTCGTTACATTTCATTTTCATATAGAAAATAATCACAGATGCGAGCCAGTGAGTCGTGGATCATAGCCATTACGAGAGTCTCTACTCACGAAATACGGTGGACAGCTCTTTTCGCTTATGATGCTAGCAAACCTGCGGCAATCATATTCACAATACTATTTGCTATTACTTTAGGTGCCCATACCTATCAAGCTATACGAGGCAAAGCCGGCTATATGTGGGCAATCATTGCTGCTACGGTGATGCAGGTACTAGGATACGCCGCACGGTGAGCCCTGTACTATATCTGTATAATATTTTGTCGCTAAATCGACGTTTTTGCATCTCAGCTACCTTGCCATCCAGAATGAGTGGGTCTTTCCGAGTGACCTACACTAGATAACTAATCGTCTTTGTAGCCCGAATTTGTCACTCTTCGCTACATCGCAAGTCCTTATTGTCGTATCCCCATCGTTCTTGGCAGCTCAAGGTACGTGTGAATGCTTTCCCAGAGCCCCCGTTGACATGCTTTGTCTCAGATTACATGATTGTCGGTCGAATGTAAGCTTTGAATTTTCTCGAGTTGAAAGGGTGAAGAGAATGGAACGCTAACAGTCTGGGTTTTAGGATGGCCTATGTTGGCCCAGAAGCGAGCCCCATCTCCCATACCATCATCACCAAACTCTTTGTCTTTCTCGACATCGTCTGCGTCTTGACACAAACAGGAGGAATATCGATATTCTCTACAAACACCTCGAACAGGGACGCAGTCAAGCTCGGGCGAAACGTTCTCATCATTGGACTGGTGGCTCAGATCATCGCCTTTCTGGTCTTTGTGGTCCTCACAATCATCTTTGATATGAGGAGTCGTCGCATCAAGGGTGCAGATATCGCAAGGCTCCGACCCCTCTTCATGGTGTTCTACCTCTCTGCATTGATGGTCATAGGGAGGTCGATTTACAGGACTATTGGTGAGTGAAATGGATGATTTATCTTGCCCATATATTGATACCTGGACTAACAAATGGTATGTCAACAGAATTCGGCGAGGTCGACTTTGATTCGGGAGCAACGGGATACCTCTACAACCACGAATGGCCATACTACGTCTTAGACGCGATCCCCATCTTGGTCAGTACTGTCCATTCCTTTCTAAGATGTGTTTAGCTCATGATGCAACCATGAATATCAGATTGCAACTGTCGCGTTCAACATTATCAGCCCGATCAACTACCTACCGAGGGAAAAGGGGCTTCGAATGGATGGAACTGTTGAGGAGCCGAGGAAACATTGGTGGTCCTCTGCCAAAGAAAAGAATCCGTCCCAAGTCGTGTTGATGCAGATGGCACAACCTTGAGGCAGCGGCAGAGTGTAGGACATGGACGGAGGGAGTATCCGCACCTCAGCCATTCCCCCTTTCATATTTTACTTATTTAATCGATATTGGGATAGACGTTCTGCTTTTGATAGATCTGCAGTAGATACACAGACTCTGGGAGGGAGGCCGTCTGGTCAGCTTTTCCCAACGAGGGTGGCTGCCACACCTCGTCCTCTTGCTACGTTCTTTATGCTATAGATATACTTTGAAATTTGGAGACGTATTGCGAGTTGAGAACAAGTTGGAGTGGTCAAAACCTTGCCTCGGCGCACCTTGCCTCTCCCAACCACCTTTGTGGTTTGCACGTTTCAGATGTCGAAACCCTATCGAAATCCTGTCACTTTCTTGGTCTCACTACGGACTCGGTGATGAGAACATTGACAACAGTGGAGAAGATACAGAGTTCAACTGCGCGAACTTTGCATTGCGGTGTCGTGACGAAGGGTCGTCAAC